CAACACCAACACATGGACCGTGTCGGCTCTGGTCGCGGGTGCAGGAGGCCTGGCGGACCGTGCCGGCTCTGGTCGCGGGTGCAGGAGGCCTGGCCCCGTAGGCCGTCTGTTTGCGTTACGGCTCGCGTGTCTGGCCGTACCCCGATCCCTCCCTCCTCCCACCGGCTGTGGCCCGGACGCGAGTTACCTAAGTGTGGAACTACAAGTCGATTCTCGGGCTCTGATTGGTGACTTTGGTCGGGGGATGACGCTTATAGCATGACGTCACTCGCGTACTTGGCCGGACCAACGCACTGTAGGCCGGCAGCCCGAAAAAGCGCTAGAAATTCCCCCAAACTGACTGTCCGCAATATGAACAAAATAGGTATCATTTAATCCCAAATTGATCGAAGAATACGATTCCGATGCCATTTTTGCCCTAAGGTCGAAATTGAGGTGGTCAGTTGTCACCAAACACAAGACTATTTAGACTCGCTAGTGGCCACCACATTTGCCGATTTTAATGCTAATCTTTAGTTGATATTTATTAGTTGACCAATTGTCGTTTTGAACGCAATTTTCTGTCAGACTAGTTCAGGGCACTGTTGTTCACTGTACCAATAACATTCTTACATATTGCATCGCTTTTCTGCAGCATAAGCTAGCTTTTTGCAAGCAGCTGCAAGACCTAAATAAAAATCATATCTAAATTTTTAAATAGACTTAAAAAAACGTTATTTCGAGCAGCTAAAAATAAACATCTTATACTAGCCGCTGATTACTCATCTTTCGTTCCATATAGGTACTTTGCTGCTTTTCCCTGCTACTTTTCGAGATATGCGCCAGTAAACCACATGATGTAGGGGCAATTGTCACCTCGCCGCTCTACTGAATGCCCGGCGCTCTTTATAACGCTAGAAGTTGTGAAAAACTAAGGCTTATAATCTGAATAAAATATATGTCCCTGAGCTCAGAATTGATCAACGCACACAATGCTGTCAAAATTTTTGGGCCAAACTAAAAAATTAAGTCATTATTAACCCCCAAACACAATTAAGTGATAATCAACAACAACTTGCTCTTAAGTTAGACTTTTTGAGAAATGTTATTTCGAGCCGCTAAAAATGACCGTGCCATACAAACCACTAATCATCTTTCTGTCATGCCCTACTCGCAATTTTTGCTAATGCCTGCTACTCTTCGAGGTCACGTGACATCACCATTAAAAGTAAATGGGGAGATAAGGAAACTGTTGTTTTTGCGCATGGAATGATCTCAAACTATCTCAAGCACACGGAATCGTGATTTCATGCACTCCTTGCAAGATCCGATGCTTTACTTTTGCATTTTTGACCTTCCGTGACGTCATTTATGACGTCACTACGGTCATAGGAGTTTCTTGTCAATAACTCATGATCAAATTGAGCCAGCGACTCGGGAAAGCCACCAATGGACTCGGGAAGACCTCCCGAATCGAATGATATGCGACATGACCTCTTTCGACCAACTTCGTGACCTGGGGATGCTGACCTGACCTTGACCTGAGGTCAACACCTTAAGTTGACCTCACCCGAACAAAAAGTATACCATTCGACGCGCCTGAGCCAGGCAAACACGATGGTGCCAAAATCGCTGCTCTGCGACCATTTTATGCGAAATTATTTACCAAAAACCAAACCCTACCTTAGGCTTTTTGACCTCACCTCAGAGGTTACCGGTTGACATGGGACCTTGAAATCGGGTATCAATCGTTCCGTCTTGAAACGGCGCACACGCTTGTTTTTTCCGCGAGGCTCTAGCTCCATTAGGGGCGAAACGGCGAAAAGGGGTCGTACCAACCCTCCCCCTTCGGCCGGCCGAGGGGGTGGGGGGGGTCCGACAACAGGTCCGGCGAGGGTTAAGCAGCCCCACTTCGTTTTTAGCATGTTTGCTTGTCGCTGAGATCAACAACTCAATCACAAATAATTTCTAGCACTTTTCCGGGCCCCCGGCCCAGTGTGCAACGGCGCGGCGCAGGCGCGCCGAGCCAACCCAGAGGCTCTCAAACTCAATTGTACAGATCCTGCGCATTGAAGGGCGAAACTTCGGCGAGTTCGCTTGAGTTTGGAAGCCCCTGCCAGAGAACTGGAGACGGCCGGATTATTTGCTGGACAGTGGGCAGCGCAGATGGCGATTGACGGTGCCAAAAAGATGATAGGGAAAAAGGGGTTGAGACTTGAGCAGTGAATTATAAGCCTGTTGCATAGCTGAGTGGTAAATTGTGAAATACTTTAGGCTTGAAGAGATGCAGTGTAGTTTAGCCGACTCAGGGGCATTCTGCCGAGTTATGTAAGGCGGAAGGGTCGCAACTCGCAAGTCGTTTGTTTCCATGATTGCCTGATTAAAATGTAAAGCGTAGGTACCTAATGTTTAGTTGATAATACAGCGAGGTTGGGCACATAGACCCGGGAACAGGGGGGGCAGCGGGGGCGCTTGCCCCCCCCCCAACTTGGGAGCCGAGGGGGCGGCGCCCCCTCAACATTGAGGCAGCGAGAAAAGATCTTTCCTCCCTTTTCCGGACTTCTTTCCTTCTTGTTTCTTTTATGCATCTAAACATCAACACACGGCATTTTCCTTGCCATCTGAATGGTTTCTGCTGATACAATGTCGATTAGACAACATCTGCTATTGTCATCCCGCTTTGATTTGGGCCTGACCTTGGCCATAAGTTTGGCAGGCCAGATTTTATACTGTACCAGCTTGAGTCAGCTTTGAGAAATACATAACGTACAACGGTGGTAAAATTGTTGCTATAGGTATAACACAGTTTACCCGCTCCGGGTGAGATGGAGGGGTGTAGGGCAATGAGTGCACTGACGTGGCGCCCTCGGAGGGCCGGTATGGGATTAAAGCTCAGCGACACAAAGGGCTTATGTGGTGCCTTCAGTTATCGGTAGCACCCTCAGAATCACCGGCGTAAGGGCCCTCAGAGCCGCCGGTAAGGGGCCTTTAGAGGCACTGATCATGGTGTGGGGCCGCCATGCACTATGCAGGTGCCGGTGTGGGCGCTGAGGTGCTAGTGTGATTCTCTCAGAGGCGCCGGTGAGGGTCCTTACAGGCGTTGCTGTGGGCCCTCATAGACGCTGGTGTGGAGCCGTTACAGACGGGTGTGGGGTCTTTTGAGCTGCTGACGCGAACCCTCTACAAGGCGGCAGGGGGTTCTCAGTGATCGGCAAGGGGCCCTTAGGCCGGCAGAAGAAGTCCTGTGGGGTCCTTGGAGACCGGCATGGTACTGTCAGACGCCGGTGGGGCCCTCAGGGCTCAGAGTCACCGGTGTGGGGCCCTCAAGTCACCAGTGGGTGGCCTTTAGATGCGCAGGTGTTGGTTGGTTCCTCAGAGCCGCCGATATAGGGCTTTAATAGGCACTGGTGTAGGCACTCGGAGTTGGGGGTGTGAAACGCTCAGAGGCACCGGTGTGGGCCCTCATAGGCGCCGATGAGGGCCCCCACAGTTGCCGTTATGGGGCCCGCAGAAAAATAAGTGTGTGACCATCACAGGCGGGAAATGCCCCTAGAACTGGCCCCTCATAGGCCGGTAAGAACTCTCAGAGGCCAGTAACGGGCCTTTGGAGACCACCGAGGGGCCCTTTAAGTCTGCAAAAGGCCCTCAGAAGCCGGCGTGGGGCCCTTATGGAGATCTTAGTGTGGCTATTTAGGGTCCATGAGGTGCTCTAACGAGCCCCATGGGGCCCTTCTGAGTAGAAATATGGCCATCGTTAACTCTCAGCGGTCAAATGGCGCCGCAGGGCCCCTCGGACCCGAGGGTCCCTTTGAACCCGAGGGGGGGGGGGTACGTGTCCCCTTAGACTCCTAGCTACGCCACTGTTTCATATGCATCATGTCAGGCATTTTAGGCTCGCCCCCCCAACTTGAAAATCGTTCCCGGGCCCCTGGTTGGGCATCTGCTCAATCCATTTCTTCTCTGCAATAGTGCATTCGCCACTGTAATTCATTGTAAGAGGCACTGGGCTGCGCCGCCTGTTAATTATTCCGAAACCACCAGTGAATTGTCACAGTCACTCACAACAATACGAATCGTTCAGTCGTGCGCTGGGGGTCCGCCAAGTTTGAGTGTGCTGCAGAATGCAGACTGGACCGCCGAGAATATAACACTTCCGTCTCCCTGGGCGAGCGGCGCATTGGAGCCGAGGGAAACTGCTTCAGTTTTTTTGTGGGAAGATACCCATGTTTGAAAATTATGTCCTGGAATGATGCGATAAGGAAAAGGACGGTTTCTTGATTTGAGGGCTGTGGAGAAGAAGCAGATTTTCTCATTTGCTACCCGATGCAACGCGAAACGACGCAAATGTTGCACATTGGGCTTAATAAGTCTAATAAAAGATAAGGGACTTCGTGAATCATGCCTAACTGACCGCGACCCAGTTATTTGCCACTGCAGGTAGGTACTAGGTAGGTAGATACTCATTACTCATTTGTAAACAGAGCGTTCCACCAACCCTCGCCAGAAATTTGCCACTGCAGGTAGGTACTAGGTAGGTAGATACTCATTTGTAAACAGAGCGTTCCACCAACCCTCGCCAGAAATTCAATCAGCAGTTGCTTATCTTAAAACGTTTGAGTGCACCTAACAACCTTTAAAAATGACGTCCTCCCTTTCAATGGTTCGTTCGAAGACACAAAGCCAGAATCAGCCAAGCAATATCGGAATCCATTGCGCAGTGTGTCGACTGTCGGATGTGCCCATCCACATAGCATATAGCACACACTGCTAAATGCAGGTACGCTCTACTACACATTAGGTATTCGAAGGACTTGATAGCTCATACACATGGAAGAAACGCATGAAATGTGATTAATAGCTGCAGCAGAAGTTTGGCGTCCAATGCCTCTTCGCCAAGTTAAGACCATGCCAATCTCGGCCAGTCTGCCGCCGCGCCGGCACTGGCCGTGGTGTGACGTCATCCGGCCGGCTCGGCGCTGGGTAGTTCCACACTTAGGTAACTCGCGGCCCGGACCAGTCTGCCGTCACCCTCCCTGAGCTGTGGTGCCCGCCTGGCGTCAGCGGCGGTGGCTGGAGAAAGTGGAACAGGCTGGTCCGCTGTTCGTCTCGGCGCAACCGGTAGACTACGGGTCGCATACGCAGGACATCTCTGCTCACAAGTCACAGGGAACAACGCGTCGAAGGTCAGTGCCGAGCTACTCACTACAGTTCCTCCTTAGTTTGCATAGGTGATGTAGAGCAGCTTTCATTGTCGATGAGCATACATTGGCCTTTATACCAGTACGTTCTTATGTCATCAATAAGTAAAAGCAAGGATGAAAGATCGGTGGCGTCTTTGCCTGTAATCAAATGGTGTGTCAGTATTTTGCTGTTTTAAGCCTAATAGGGTAGCAATTGTGTATTGGTATTATCAATCATTTTTATTTATTTACATCATGCTATTATAGGTACTAACATGCCGTTCCCAGTTTCCTTTACTAAACTCAATGTGTTTTTTTTTTGTCGACGTTATCTACCGTACAGCCCTGAGCACTGCGTCACATTACAGACTGCTGACGTCATGTCTGGAGGCCCTCTGACGTCACACGTGCTGGACACGTCCAGCGGCAGACCGGCACAGGGACTGGCTCTGACTCTCTTCAGGAAACAAGACGACGACTGGGTGCTTATCAAAGCCAGGTGAGGTGGTATTGGGCAACAAATGGGTGTTTAGAGGGGCGAGTAGAGTAGGGACTCGGCAAATATAGAAATACCTAAATCTTGAATGCATAGGCGGCGGAACGGGGAGGGCGCCGCCCACCGGGGCACCGTGCCCCCTTTGATTTTGGCATTTTAACATTAGCCCTATGGGCGTTGCATGGACAGAATGGGACCAAAAGTCGGCAGTGCCCCCCTTAATTGAAGATGTTCCGCCGCTACTGCCTGAATGTTCTAGCTCACTCATCATCGATACCCGTTTAATTTAGGATGACTTTGCTCATGGGAAAATCAGTTGCGAAGCAATGGTAATTGATAGTTATAGTTACCCATATCAAAGTTTTCTTTTTTTTAATCCAAAGCCGAAAGCTTTAGGTATATTCCGTGTAATTGATCCACAAAAAGTTGTTAAGGTATACCAGAAGAGTTATATTGAGTTTTCGGAGAGCCGAAGAACCCTTGAGATGACCTTCAATTTATTTTGGACTTAACAATAGATACTGTCACCATATTATTCCTGAGTGAAACAGACGGCTCATTATAATTTATGCTGAATAGTTTAAACACCCTATCAATATGAAAGGACTTTCAGATACTTTGTTAATCTTATGCAACGTGTCGCTTTATAATACAAAGCTATTTTCAATTAAAACAAAGCCGATAGTTTTCGGTATTCTCGGGTGCGTTTGGGCAGTGCTACAGGGAGGTAGGCTGCCCGGAGTACACGCATGCATTGCGGTGCAGTCTACCTACTCGCCGCTGTATAAACGGGATTGGGATGTAGCTGAAAACCGACGGCGGGGCGAACTTCACGAACTTCTTACGACAGTGAGTGAGACCAACAGTGCCCGCTGTTGCCGACAGTGAGACCAACAGCGACGGTCGTTGTTCGGGATTCCTGGACCGGGAACAGTTCACCGCCGACACTTACAAGCTGCGGTTCGACACGGAGGAATATTTTCGCCGAGCCGGGGGCACCACCTTCTATCCATACGTGGAGGTGAGGTTACTTACAACCTTCCTGCCATCGCTTCCGATACCAGATCCGTTCACTAAATCTCATGAGATTTGGAAAGGATCCTTACACGTCACCATAGGCGGCGGAACGGGGGGGGCACCGGGGCACCGTGCCCCCCCTTGAATTCTGCAAGGGGGGCACCAATAGCAAGGTGCCCCCCCTTAAATTTGATGTATTAGTACCAGGAGCGGATTCGGGAAAACTCCAAGGGGAGGATCATGAATCGAAGTGGTGCCCCTACCTATACCCAAAATTAAAACCTCAACGGATTTCGGCCACTTAATTTTGGTGGTGCCCTATTTTCAGTTTTTTTTTTATTTTCTTTATTTTTGGTTAGTCATGTGATGACTGGTGCCCCTGCTAGGCCGCTGGTGCCCCTGGAAAGACTGTGGTACCTATCTACCTACCCTGCCCCCTGAAAAGCCTACGGTGGCCCTGACATGACTTAGGTGCCCATGGGCGCTGACAGGCCTGTGGTGTCCTTGCTAGGTCTGTGGTGCCCCTGGCGGGCCCGTGGTGCCCCTGTTAGAACGCAGGTGCCCTTGACAGATTTGTGGTGCCCCTGACAATCCTAAAGGGCCAACGACAGGCTTGTGGTGCCCTTGACAGGCCCATGATGCCCTTGCGAGGCCGGTGGTTCCCCTGTATAGCCGATAGTGCCCCTGGCAGGCCTCTGGTGCCCCTGGCAGGTCTGTGGTGCCCCTGGAAGACCTGTAGTGCTTTTGCTAGGCCGATGGTGCTCCTGACAGGCCTGTGGTGCCACTGACAGGCCCGTGGTGCCCCTGCTAGGCCTGTGGTACCCCTGGCGGGCCTGTGGTGCCCCTGTCGGCTGTCAGGCCTGTGGTGCTCCTGGCAGGCATGTGGTGACCTCAGGCCCTAAGTCATGACCCATGTGACCTCCCCCTGGGATTCGCCACTGATTAGTACTGCGATGGCTTCTTGGGAATTTGATACATGTAGGATAAATGGAATTTATCAAACGACAATAAGGAAGAGACAAACACATAGGTACTTGAGGATCAGCTTAAAGTTAACCAAACATACGGGCAGGGCAGGGGTGTAATTTTCCTAAAATGATTGTGGGTGCCCAGCTGTAGGGGCGCCCGGCGCCAGGCCGTTTTGGGGCGCGATGGATATTCTTTATGTGGGAGCCCAAATTAACACCGAATTTGATAGCATTGCTAGCCGAAGGGCGCTTCAAGTGACGTGTCTGACTAAGCAAATACACGCTTAAAAGTGGAAACTGAATGGAAGGACGTAAAAAAGATGTAGAGAGGCGCCATCCAGTAGGAGGGGCACCAAATATGGAGGCGCCAGACGGTTACGAGGGCGCCGTGAGACGATGAAAAGGGCGCCATTCTCTTAGGAGGGCGCCGAGTGATTGAAAACGCTATGTGGTCCAGGGGCGCTAAGAGGCCAGAAGGGCGCCGCACAGTCAGTAGTGCTACGTTGGTGGGGACGTGGGGGCGCCAGGTGGTTACCAGGGCGCCTTGAGATCATGAAAAGGGCGCCATTCTCGTAAAAGGGCGTCAAGTGATTAAAAACGCTATATTATCCATGAACGCGAGACGGTCAGGAGGACGCCGTTAGAGCATGCGAAGGGCACCGTGCTCTCGAAAGGACGCTTGCAGCCTTGTAAAAGACTTGTGGGTGCATTTTCATCATTGTGGGGGCATAATTCAGGATTGTGGGTGCATATGCCCCCACAAAGAGATGTTCATTTTCGTTTAGTAAAAAATAAAAATAAAAAATCATCATGTCAGGGCTGTGACGAAAAATAAGTGGCCTAAATCCGATGAGAAAACAGGATTTGGGGGTACCCTAGGTTTGGCTCCTTGAGCCATGGTGCCCCCCCCTTGTCTCAAATCGTTCCGCCGCCTATGCACGTCACCGTACGGCGTACACTTACTATAGAATGAAGCTCTGGTTGCATTTGTTTTCATACATTTCTTAGGGACTGTTAAAAGCGACTGGTTAACCGATTCCCAATCCATGTTTCTCATCAAATTCTTTATAAACCAGTGCGCTTGTTTAGCAGTACTCTGATGTCCGCTTTTTTACTATAAGCGGTCAGGCATTCAGTGTAGATCACGAAGCTGTGTTACCAATAGCCATGCCACCGGCACATACAGCCTCCGTTGACATGATGCCCCGTCTCGGACAGATTGTGTTCCAGGTGGTCCGGCCGGGAGAGCACTATCACGTGCCCCTCATCCTCTCCCCATACGGCTACAGCACCTACCGGGGCAGCTGAGCCACGTGACCGCCGGAACAACCCACTTTCCAACCACAATCAAGCTGCCTTTGAGTCACGTGAATGTCACGCTGTAAGACTTATGTAAGCACGGAAGTATATCAGTTCAGTGCATTATAAGACGTAAAGGAAAATGCAGTCAGGCTTTAACCCGCGCGGGGCTGGGGTCTCCAGCCGAACGCGCGGGGCTGGGGGGGGGGGGTAAATTTTACCCCCCTGTTATCTCCCGAACTAACGGTCCGATTTGGAAAATTCAAACGCCAATCGAAAGCTCTCATCACGAACTACTAAAAACATGTACTTAATTTAAAGTTTGAGGTCAAGGTCAAGGTCAGGTCAAGGGTACAAATTGCAAGTTTCTACAGTATCGGCCTTGCACCGTAGTTGCCGAAGAATGGAGTCATGGACTGAGACTGATCGCCCAAAACGTGTTCTTAGGCTACCAAGACAATATTCGTTGCATACAATATCATTCAGAGGTCAAGGTCAAGGTCAGGTCAGGTCAGGTCAGGTCACCAAAAAAGAAAATATAGAAAAGGGCATGTGCGACACATGTTTTATGGGTCATTTTACTCATAGAATTCAATAGACACACTCAATAAGTGATATGGACCACCTCTGGATGAATTTCAGGTCGAGGTCAGGTCAAGGTCAGGTCAAGTGCGGTCAAATTTTGAAGTTGGTTGTTAAGGCCTAAAAAGGTGTCTATCTGATGCAGTTTTTCACGGCGAATCGAATGGTGCTATTTTTGTTTCCGTACGAGGTCTAGAACTTCCAAAAAAGTCATTTTTCAAAAAAATTGTGTGTCGTGACGTCATAAAATTTTGAATAACTCCCACATTTTTGAACCGATTCTTCTAAAATTTGGTATGTAGGTGCACATAGACCACTTCTCTGACATATATTCCGGTTTTTTCGATAGACTCAAAATTTTGGATTTTATAATCATTTTCCAAAAAAAGTCAGTTTTTTGAAAAAATTTAGGCCAAAATCCAAACTTTTCAAAAAACCGAGATAGCCATTTGATAGACAAAGTAAAATTACGTATAACCTTTTTTGTTACGTCTTGATTCCTTTAAAAATTAAGATGTTAGCGGCGTTTGAACTTTTGCCGTTTTTGAGGCGAAAATGACGAACATGACGTCACTAAAACGTCAATTTCTCAAAAATTTTCCGACGGATTTCGCTCAAACTTTCAGGGAACGTGTCAAATTGATGTAAGAAAAGGTACTGAAAGTTTGGCGGCGCTGCGCGCCGCCGTTTTTGAGATATCGCAAAAATTCGCGAGGGGGGGTAAAATTTACCCCCCCCAGCCCCGCGCGGGTTAAAAGCGCTGCATATCGTCAGTTTATGAACGGGGTACTGTGCTTAGCGATGTTCTACAAAGATAAATACAAACTGATTACATAAGTCGTTGTATATTGCCACATTCTGAAGAGAATATGTCGCTCAATGTGGCAGCCCACAGAAATGGGCAGCATGAACTATACAGTATAAATACTCACACAACATTAGATAACACGGGCTCCAATATCACAGCACAGGTTAACTCATCTCTGAACAGCCCGGCTCTGCTCGGCCCCGGCCGCCCGAACATCGGAGACCAGTCGGGGAGCCGGGGAGACGCCCACAGCGCCCCAACGTAGGGAGAGAAGCAGTCCACTCCACCGGTGACGGTCCGGCCGCTGTCAGTCAGCACACAAACCCCGGGCCCGGGTGGCCGCTGTCGCCGCCACAGCCGGCGCCCGGCGGCGGCCGTCCGTTGTGCACCAGCGGCAGCGCGCCGACCGGCCGGCCCCGCCGCTCCTGTCGGTACACGGCGTTGTCGCGGTCCACTGCGGCCCGCAGCGGCCCGGGCAGCGCGGCCATCGCCGGCGGCGGACAGTCGTCAGCAGGACTCGACTCTGCCAGTCGGTAGAGAAGTGTGTAGGCCGCGTCTGTGGAGCGTTTCGGTCGGCCCAGCGCGGCGGCCGCCGTCACCGGCACCGCCGAGCTGTCGTCCAGCCGCCACCAGTCGTCATCCCCCAGCCCGCCGCCGCCGTCACAGCCGCCGGCGCCAGACGCGCGACAGAACGAGAAGTAGTGACCGGCGTCCAGCGAGTGACCGGCGTGAACAATGACCGCGTACAGCCGGTACTGGGCCGGCGGCCGGTCGGCCAGCGGCACCTCCAGTCGTTCGGTGAGGCCCACCGGCGCCAACACCTTGCGCCGGGCACCGGTGCGACGATCGAACACAAACCTTACCAGGGAGACGACCAGGTGAGGTGGCGGCGCCAGCAGACGCAGCTGCCGCTCGGCGTCCCGCAGGCCGGCGCACCTGACGCAGTGGTACTGGTTGTCGCCGCACAGCCTCTCCGGAGCCAGGTAGTCCCGGAGCAGGTCAGACACTGCAGGGGCAGGACACGAGAGTTTATCAGGGACGGCCGGCGGGCGGGAGAGTAACACGAAGTGAATGATGGATGTAGGGTCATTTAGGAGTCAGTGCCAAATTATGTTGCCCACCAGTCAGCTCAACAGATTATGGTAAAAAAAAAACATTCTTGAAACATCCTACTATTACAATGCCTCGCCCAGAATACTCAAGAAGAGCAATGGAAGTTGAAGATACCGTTGGAGGCAATACTAAGAAGCTGTGACGATATACGACAGTTACAATACTCACCGGTCAGATCGACTTCGGGCTCGCTGTCTGGTGTCTCTTCCTGGACCGGAGCCGGTTTCGGACCGTATACGGGAGCCGGCTCCGGACCGAGCACGGGAGCCGGCTCCGGACCGAGCAGGGGAGCCGGCTCCGGACCGAGCTTAGGGAGAGGGCGGTATACGGGAGCAGGCTCCGCGAGTGCCGGCTCCGGGTCACACGGTGTTGACTGTGATGAACCAGCCATTACCGCTTGTTCCTTCCGCCGCTCTACATTTGAGCCACTTGAGGTAGCATTGTTCGCTCCGAGCGGACGCACGTCGCTGCCGGCACCGGGAGCCTGGTCGGAGTCCGACTCCTGTCCCTCCAGCCGGTCGGACGCAGATTGAGGCGGCTCATCGCCCTGTCCCGGCGGCTCCTGGGCCTCCATCGGCTCAAAGTCTGCCTGTATCCCCTCCTCGCCCGTCGCCGCTAGTTCAGCAGTCTCCGCCTCTACTGCCGTCCCTCCCTCACCGGTCGCCGCCGACTCTCCTGCCTCTCCGGCCGCCGCTGCCTCCCCGGCCGTTCCATCCTTCCCGCAGTCCGGCGGAGGGTCCCGCCAGCCGTCCGGCCGTGGCTGAGGACCGAACGCAGCGGTGGTATCAGCTCCGCCGGCCCCGGCCGCCGCCACCGTGGCTGAGCGGGTCAGCACCTCGGGCAGCGCCAGGTGCACGTCCGTCACGGCGTCCTCGTGGCGCGACACGCCGCCGCACGTGAGACACGTGTACGTGGTCTCGGCGCGCCCCGTCAGCAGCCGGCGCACCAGACCGGCGGCCGCCTCCTCGGAGCTCGCGTCACCCGTGCCGCCATCGGCGCCCGCAGCGGGTCCCTCCTGACCGTCAGGCTCAGTCCTCTGAGGGCAGCTACTGTCGACAGTCTCAGAGGGCACGTTCCCTGCAGTCCTCTCTGCACCGCCGCCACCGCTGTCAGGCTCGGCCATCACTACATCGTCACTAACCAGGTCTGACAGCGGTACCAGAGGCGGTCCGCCGGCGGCCGGAGCCGTGTCGCAGGAGCGGTGCCGGCGCCGGGGCCGCGGCCGGTCCGCCACGCCCGCGCCCGGGACGCTGGAGTCATCCCTGGCGTGGGCGGCGGCGGGAGCCGGTAGGACCGGTGCTGGGACAGGGACGGGAGCGGCGGGAGGCGCCGGAGTCCGCTCCTCCTCATGCATGGCGTCTAGGAGATACCTGAGGGACACACGACATACACCAAAGCTCAGAAACCAAGACAAGAATGTTAAATGTCAATGCACAAAAGTTTTCAATCCTAAGCAACAGAAATTGATCCCACTCACAACAAATCAGCTTTCCGTACTGACCTGAGAAACTCGGAGCAGTCGTGCTGTCGGCCACGCTCGAACCACGGCGGCAGAGCCACTCTCTGAAACTCGGCCGGGCTGTAGGCAGGCCGCTCGGAGAAGGCGAGGAAGGCGAACACCCGCTGCAGGGCGGCCAGGTGGGGGCGCGAGGGAGAGAGTCGCGCCGCCAGCACCTCACTGCGGAACCTGGATACACGGTGGGGGCATATTAGACATACAGTGACGACGCAGCCGCGCTTCCATTTCGACACTGATTACACAAAGATGAATGTGTCAGACACCGAAGAGCAATTGACAAGGAATCGTATAAATTCATGTCTGGACACCGTCTATCTTAGCACTAGCCATCACTACAATTGCAAGACCCTATCCTGCGTATCCCACCACCCATACTCTCTCCCCTTCTCCCAGTTCCCACCCTCTCCCCACTCACTGGTCCGAGTGGAAGAGCGCCTGCAGCACGGCGTTCATATAGCATGTGTTTCCGAGGTTGATGAGACCGCGGCGGCGCTGGCCTGGCACGCCAACCGGCTCTGTTGGCGCCGAAACGGGAGCCTCGCCGATGGTCGGCTCAGAGCCCTGGGAAGGCTCCGTCCAGGCAGAGGAAACGAGCAGACTGGCCATCACAGACGGCGGCGGCGGCGACCGGCCCTGAGGGGGACGGGGATACGCCGTCAGATACAGCGAGCTCTAGCAGACAGTACCTAATCAAACAGGGAAAACACATCGTCAGACCCGGAATCTCACTATGATAAAACATGGGAGGAAAGCTGATGTCTAGATACACATTCATCCAAAGTCAATACAAAATATCTGCATATGAATTTGCAACCGTTCGTCTGTTTTTCCTCTAGTAGCTTCATCAGAAGTTGCTTAGGGTTTATGGCACAGGCGGTTCTTCTGGGCTAGCTATCAGCTACAATGAGGCATATCACTGCTATAACTCTCGCATACTGCATATTTACAGCTATCATGACCATCACTTTCATCGCAATCATCATGGTCGGCTCACCTGCAGGGCGCGGACTATGGCCGAGTAGCGCTGCACGCAGCTCGGGTGGAGCCGCATCAGTGTCTGTACTAGGTCAGCCACTTGGCAGAAGTCAGCGCCGTCCGAGCGGCCGGCCGCCTCCTGTCGCAGCTGGTCCAGCAGATCGGGCACCCGCGGCAAAACCTGGGGCGGGCGCGCAGGGGAAGGGGTCAACAGAAAGAGGTGAGCGAGAAATATCGGATGAGCCAGATATGAGGGTTTCCTGATCCAAGGGCAGGAACCTCCAAGAGGCTTAGTTATGTCATAAAGACGCCACATGTTTCAAATTACACGAGAAAAACTTCAGAGGACGAGATTGAAGTTTGAACAACTGAACATTCATTTTTATATAAATTTGTCTTTACTAGGACTCGATCCAGCGAAGATTCGCCATGTTACTTTAAGACATACCTTGAAGAAGGCGGCCGGAGATCGCTGGAATCCGAGCAGCAGCAGCGAGACTACGGGAAACACCGAGCGCCTGACGGCCGGCAGCGTGAGACCCTGGAATAGCTGAACAACAGGGCACACCACACAGTCAGACGCAAATGGACGAGGCGCAATTAGGTAGTCAGACCCCCGGGAAGCAGCTCAGGTATACTTCACGATCAGGTCCCAAAATAACACGAAACACTCTTCAAAGTAATAGTCGGTCCCTTGTCAAGTACCCTCCATACTACAGCCATGAGCCACTCCATACCTTATCAATTCTGGCCAGCACCAGCCGGTCGAGGTCGGCCGTGTGCCCACCTCCGGCCGCCTCCCGTACCAGGGCGGCCACCCAGACAGCGAGCCGCGTGGCGCGTGGCCACACCAGCAGCCAATCGCACAACACGCCGATACCGGCACAAGTCGTCTCCGCACCGCCCTGGCATTTAGAGAGAGGGGGAGCTGTCAGCTGCTGACGTAGGCGGGGAAATAATACGCGCCTTTTCAGATGAGTGTGGAATGGTTCAGACATGTCGATGACTGCGTCCACATCTCAAAATCACGTAGAACACCACTCGTAACTGCTGAAAGAAGCTCACGCTAGTTTAAGTTACGGACAATACCACATTAAATATCATCGAAAAAAAAAGATTGTTCATCGAACTTTATAGGGGTAATGTAATCCTGAGCATCAGTTATCAAACAACAATAACTAGTTCCTGTAAATCAGCGACTAAATGCGGTGATAAGCGGCTCACCGATTTGAGACTGTTCAGTTGAGAGCAGGCGGGGGTGACCAGTTTCACGGGCACCGCCTGCAGCACCACGCTGAGAGCTGGGCACACCGAACCGCCGCCTGGTGGCAGAAACGACAAACAACAGTCGGTCACTCAGCAGGACACGTTTGGGAGGGAATGAATATAAAAAGCCATCCAGACTAAAAGCATACAATTTCATGCGATGTGCGAGTGAGCCAGCATCATCTGCAGCTCTGAAATGTACGTACGATGTCCCTATGGCTCCCGCCACTAACCTGATCCGGTCATGACCTCGTAGAGCGTATCCATAGCTCTGACCACCGTTTGTGTGCTACTAAACAGCTCCTGAAACAACAGTCCGAGCTGCTCCATCTGCGACACGAACAGACTGATCTGGCCACTCTGATCTGGCATCCGGAGCGGGGCCATGGACCGGATCAGACCCTGGCTGAGGGTGACGGCGTCCTCAAACCTGGCGACGGGGGCAGATATAAAATGGGTTAAGCTATTTTCAGATATGCCCAACGCTATACGGTTGTAGGAGGCAATGGTAAAAAATATGATATGTGCCTGCGCCGATAAAAATTACAAAAAGTTGTACTGATATAGCTGAAGTGTCATCGATCTTAAGTCGTCGATATTATAAAGCAAACGGATAGCTGCAGCTGATCTACACTGATCACATGATCTCACTGGTCAGTGGTTCAGAGTAAGTGATCAGAGATCGCTGGTCGCTGGTCACCCACCTGGGCCGGCAGGCGGGTCGGTCGATCATCAGCCCGGCCAGCGCCGCCAGTGTGTCGGCCGTGTGGCCCGGGTGGGCCGCGTGGCGGGACAGCCGGCGGCGCGCGGTGGCTACCAGAGACGGCTGCCGATCCATCAGCCAGGCCAGCAGGGCCGTGCCGGCGGGCGCCGACAGCGGCACCGGGCCGTCCAGCAGTGGCTCCAGCACCGCGGGCACGGCGGCCTGCTCCAGCACCGCGGCGTGGTGGCTGACCGGGGGACGGCAGAGGTGAGTCAGCGCAGCATAACTACAGTCGGCGTCTCAGATCACATCAGAACCAATCCTTATCATTCCGAAAAAAACTACGTAAAACAATGCCATAAGGAATCAAAGCAAGCCGATACTGGCACTTCCTTCAATGCTGGCTATTCATTTTTAAAGTTAGAAGGCATCCAGTAGTTACATCTGCAGCCTGCGTTCTCCAATTCGCTCACCGTCCCCATTCTCTGACGACCAGTGCGCCGGTCTCCGCCAGCGCATCGGTAGGAGCCGACTGTATAATGGCCACGCCGGCCGCCAGGATGCGACGACACTCGTCCTCCGGCACAGGCAGGTGGGCAGACTTGGCCACAAGGGTGCGAGTGAGGGCCGTCTTCAGCGCTGCCTCGTAGTCTGACCGGTGTACGCCCAGCAGTACGGTATCCATCTGAGGTAGGTAGGCAGTGCACTGCGTCAGAAGTTCTCAATTGCCTTATCTGTACTGCTAAATCATATAATCGAAATTGAAACAGAAATAAGAATGGAATGTTTAGGCACCATTACAGCCTGATTCGGTCTCAACTTCAACTTCAACTACAGATAACTTCCCCATCCTCAAAACCATAAATTAGGCATGAATTTTGCATAGGGCTTTCAATTACATTGAAGGGGTAGGCATGCTAATCCACTACTTTTATCATACATGGCAGTGAGTAGAGCGCTGCTAGTGATCTATCTCACAAACCCTGTTCACGCATGAGCATGCTATGTCACATCCGGGGGCACAGGTTAAGGTACCTAATCAATTATGTGTGACATCACTCTTTTCTCGTTTCTCATTGGTTAATAGCCTATTGCATCGAGCACGTTACACATGCGTGAGCTTGCTAGCTAGCCCGGCCATCTATTAGGACTCAATACCCACTCATACCTAACCCGTCCCCAGATTAAGGAAGGTAAGCATGCTTTGCAATTTGAGAATCAGGCAAGTTCAAACTTCAAGGGAATAGTTCACTTTCACAAAATTAGTTTTTTGGAATGAATTTATGGTTTGTTATGCTTAAAACGATCAGCAAGGAAAATAAAACCTTGTTTTATATATTATTTTCTATATTTTAATATAGACAGAACTCTTCAGTTTTAAAAGAGGAAAATGACCCCTGCAAGGCACACATTCCTCAGCAAGTCACTTTTTAGGGAAGAGAAATAGAATATCTTTGTCTTGGGTGATCGTTGGGCCGTAAAAGCTCTTTGTGCTTGTCTCAGCTCAAGCAACAGAACTGCTATTCCAGTTCAAAACTCCATGTGAAAAATGAACTTTTTCCTTAAAATGGTACCCATACAGAGAAAAATTAAGCATTATTCATGAAAAACACGATTAAATCAAAATGAAATGGTACCTAGTTCCCACTTTCCAATTTCCCAAGAAACAACATTTATCAGACAAATCCTTACATCACTTCCACAACTGAAACTGTAGGTTATCCGGCCTCCAACCTATCAAAAAACTCCGAATTTGCCCTTCGTCGCTCCCGACTTTGTGTCTACCACAACAAAAACGATATAAGAATAATTATTTTCAACAATGACACCGGTCCGGAACTCGGGCCATAATATTTGCCTTATTCTAAATTGACAGCTTGAGAAAAATTAGCTAGCAGTCGCCTAGCAACTAGAAATGTCTTTGCCATTTAATTGGCTGTTGCTAGGCAACCAGCGAAATAATCCTCACAAGCCTTTCAATCAGCTGAGCTTAGAACAGTTTTCATCGCAAGTCATTGGATCCACCATGGAGTAAGATCCACTGCGTCGCCATGGATGCAACAAATTGCTACCAAATACTTCATAGCTGGCTACCAAGTAGTAAAGGAATCTTGGAATACCGTAAGAAATATACTTTACCGTCGCTTGAATTTGTTATCACTTATCTTGCTTCGTTGCCTGCAGGCTTGCAATGCAAAAAAACTTTGATCTCAGGACTTGTAAACCTGGCATTTGCTGTTACAACGACGCTTGAAACGAACACCCGGTCAAGGCAGATCACACGGATTTGCCAACTACATACATAACTTTTGGCAGTTTTATTGGTAACCCATGAAAAGTCGGCGCCTCGCCTCTCCCCGTTCCAACATCGCGTGCAAGATCCGTCTTTTGATAACCGATTCATTCTTGGAAGATTTTAAAATATGAAGTTCACAAAATAATCATTTATTCAAGTGCACCACATCAGCCTTCCTGCAATCAACAATTCAATGGTTGCAAGACATAGCCAAAATAATAAAACGACAAAAATCGCCATGGCGAAAAGCCACACGTGACTGAAAGACAAATGCCTGTGTACAATTCAAGGGTGATTTAAAACGACGAAACTCGACTGCCTACGATGCCTCAATCGCCAGCTACTCACACTCCGCAGCAGATCGTCGATCAGAGCACGAACAGGCAAATGCAGCACACAAGTTTGAATCACGTCACCGTCTAACTGCCGACGCACAACAGTCTAATCCTGCTGCAACCGTGATTCAGCTTCTACCAAGATTACTTCTACTGCTAGGTTCCACAAGGCACCACAGAAAGGAAGGATCACGACCATCTCCAATTGCAATGTTGAGACAACCTTTTTCGACATTCCTCTCGAGACAACCTCTTCTTCCAGCATATTCCCAGGATTCTGGCTGCATACTCCGCCCGGTTCTCGCAGACAGCTCTCCAGTAACAAATCGCGTGAGCTTCGCTGGACGCCGACCATCCCACTCCAGTGGCACTCAGTAGCCGCACCGTCCGACGCCACTCGTTCGGGCTCCTCAGCCGAAAGTTGGCTTACTTAAGGATGTGCCGAATATATCTGGCTTTTTGTGTGCTTTGTCGATGATCCAGGGTTGCTCTCCCGGCTGGTAGGCGGTCAGCGGGACACAGTAGGGCAGACTGATGCCGCCCGGTGCCACCGAGTCCCCGGTCAGCACCGACAGATACTCACAGCCCTGCAGATACACGGGCGAGGGTCACACACCGCGGAAAATTATAGCGACGATAGCATTATGACGTAATTAACCACAAAGTAATGACGGACTTTGAAATATCAATTCAATCAACGACTTAGGTGTGTGAGCCACCACATGTCAATCGCATCTTTACTTACGAAAATGAGTCACTGTAATGTAAAAAACTGATATTGACATCAACCAGCGTCAGGTCATGCTGGGACGCATAGTGACACCAGGCTGCCACCGTCTAGAAGAATAGCTAGCCACCAGAAGCTAGCCACGAGCCATGCCAGCGGCTCAGCCACCAGCCAACAGCCCGCCACTCACCAGGAACTTGGGCAGGAACATCACCCCCAGCTCGTAGGAGCGGGAGCACATCTGTTTGTCCTGTTTCTGCGTGACACCCCATGCGGACCTCGAGAGGTTGTGCGATGTGAGAAGGAACCAGGCCATCTTCCGGCCGTCGGGAGATATCTGTGTGTACGTCTTGATGTGCGGCATCGCCCGGGTCCGGTTCCGCGTCTCACTGCGCCACTTGCTGTGGGACACATGATGGCAGAGTATGAGTTTTAGAGCATGACTATGGGTCGGTTATTCAACATAATGGACGCAGAACCTCTCCAGACATTATTGCCAAAAATCACACAGCAGTCAGTGATGGTTATGCCCAGGGGCGTAAATTGGAGACTGCGGCTCCTCATTGCATCACCGATATAAAATAAGCTAAATATGATGAGGAATTCTCGATCTCGATAAGGGCTATTTGTGAATTGTGCACCTTGCTGTAATCGGGACCATGACTAATTTGCTCTCTCTCTCTCTCTCTCTCTCTCTCTCTCTCTCTCTCTCTCTCTCTCTCTCTCTCTCTCTCTCTCTCTCTCTCTCTCTCTCTCTCTCTCTCCTCTCTCTCCTCTCTCTCTCTCTCCTCTCTCTCTCTCTCTCTCTCTCTCTCTCTCTCTCTCTCTCTCTCTCCCCACTCTGTTCGCATCACTCTATCAATCTCAAACCGGCTAGCGCGGCGCCGACACTCACCACATGAATTCGTACAGCCAGCGCTGTTTGTTGTCCTGGCCCCACCGGTAGGGCAGACAGGAGCCGGCCTCGTAGCCCTCCAGGCTGGTGCGCACGTCCTCTTCGCACGGGAAGATGACGGCCACCGGTACGTTGCGCAGGCCGCCCGACATGTAGAACGAGAACTCGTCGAGCAGGTACTCGTGGGGCACCTCGCCCAGAGCGCCTACCGGGTACGAGCGGCGGCGGTGTGTGTGGATGGGAACAGATGGTAATGGCAGGGGCGGCACACATGCGGGCATAACTTCAGTATGCATGTCAAGGACTGCATTTAACAAACACAAGTGCTAAGTACAAGCAGACGCCATAACGCGGTGTCCCGTAACTTAAAACATAGCTGCTCCACATAATTGCATCTCGGTCATTTTTGTCAGCGCAAACCGCCCATCATCGGTCTCGCCAAGCCCGGTTCAGCTCAGCAGTCAGCTGAGCTAATCCGATAGTCAGCTGAACTAAGCTAGGCCAGCCCAGCCCAGCCCATACGAGCTCGGCGGCCAGCCTATCTCAGCAGTCAGCGACCTGCCTATCTCAGCTGTCAGCGCCCAGGCCAGCTCAGCTGTCAGCAGTCTGCGCCCAGGCCAGCTCAGCTGTCAGAAGCCGGCCCAGCTCACCAGTCAGCAAACAGGCAGCGTCTCTCACCGATGGAGGAGCACTGGACGATCAGCTGCCAGTTGCAGCGGGGCGTGTGCTTGTTCAGAAGGTCGTACACCCGATTGTGAGCCCAGCGGTTCAGCTCGGGGCCGACGAACCGACCCGGCACAGAGCCTACCAGGAACACACTGGGCGGAGAGGAGATCGGTGGTTAGCAGCAGAGGAGAGAGTCACATTCTATTCAATGACAATATAACGTCCGAAGGGAAACCACCGACATGACCGTACTAAAGGTGTTTTGATAATATAATGACTTATTGGCACGTGCATTTATAATCATCAATGAGTCCGTTAAATTTCATTCATAAATACAATACCTGACACATTGGCCACCTGTACCCAGTGTTTGTGCGTCTCGTGCTATTTATAGGTCGAAAGTCATCACGACTCAATACGCAATAGAGAAAACCGAGGAAACTCCATAAGCAATCGCTGTTAAACACATGAGTTGCAACAAGCAAGGAAACCTACCCAACACCATCGGCTAAATGTCGGTAAAGACGGGCGTTTCGCGGGGAGTGGTGGCGCGGCTCACCGAATGGCGCTGAAGTCGGTGCGTCTGACCCTCTCTATCCACGGCGTCAGGATGTCCAGCTGGTAGTGGGTCAGGTAGTACAGCAGGTGCGCGCGGAACTCTGTCGGCGACTCGCCAGCGGTGTCGGGAGCGCCGGCCGGCAGCGTCGGCAGCAGCGGCGACACCCACACACCTGACGGGGGTTAGACGGGTTGGTGTTGGTTCATTGGGGCTTCAGGGCGCGCCGACCGCACTGAGCTCATGCTGTGCTCAATGGAGCGGGACACCCAATAAGCAGGGCTATAACCACGATGGCTACGAGTCACATCAGCAGGAAGCGGAATTTAATAAAGTTATATAGCACAAACAACTCCATGCACATTACCAGTGGCAAAACATATCCAATTTTCCTGTAAGGCATCTTCATGGAAATCTCACATTTACATTGATCGATCACAGTCTCCTCAGCCCCTTAGTTTCCCTTAGTTCTCCTGAACCGGACCGCGCTCACCTTGCGTACGGTCCTCCCAGTCGCTCTCCACCAGGTTTGCCGTGTGAATCACCACGCGCATGCCCTCTGTGTACTCGAAAATCATCATCTTCGTGTGGTGAGTTCCCCACAGCATGGGCATTTTCACCTTGTGCGTGATGATGCCGGGAAAGCCCGGATCACTGGTAAATAAAAGCAATAGAGATTGTTCGTATTAGTGTTAGTTACACGCAATTAAGAGATATCAACAACATGAGTTTATGGGACAACTTGTTTAAAGAAGACTCAAGACCGAGGCCGCCAAAGCCTGGCACAATTACTATTTATAGCGAAAACGGCGAGTGCCGGTTATTGAGTTCTGATATTTAATCAATTTTCTGACATTCACGAAACTCCATACAGATATTATAAGTCAAAAGTATGTAGATACGTTTTTGTCTTCCTTCCTACCTTATATTTCCATCCCCCCCCCCACGTTTCACTGTTCATTCATATTTACTTTACATGAATTAAGAGGCCTGGAAATGGAGAACTTCCTTTCTATTCCAGATTACCACTGTCCGCTCATATCAGGAACGGGGAAAGTGCTCAGGATAACGTTTAATTTAGAGGCAATTTCCGACAAAACATCACGACCGGCCTCTCCCCGTCGTCGGACTCACATGAGTCCGTTCGTGCCGTGCAGCACGGTCAGCGGCTTGTCCTGGTAGCCGTGCACGGTGTACGCCTCCAGGAGCCACGCCAGGTCCACCATGTAGTTGACCTGCAGCGACGAGCGCAGTTCACCCAGAGAGGGGTCGAGCAGCTCGGCGATGCCCACCGCCATCCTCTCCCGCCACGTGGACTTCACAGAGCGTACCTGGTGGCAGCGATCGGTACTGCTAATAGGGCTGGTACACGGCAGAGCACACTAGCGCCACGGAACGGTGAGTGCAACAGAAACGTGACGAAACATATTACGACTACAGGAGAACCGTTACCTTGGTCAAGAAGAACGACATCGGTTCGGCCTCCCGCAGCCGGTCTGCGATGGTGCACCTCGGCTTCGGTTGCTGCCCTGAAGCACCCGCGCCGTTTCTGGCACCAGCATTCTGCGCAGAGCCACCTAAAACGCAAGAACAGCGATTTTTTAGACGAGAATTATAGTGCAATGAACTCAATGAGATCTTGCTCTACCGTCTTTTTACGCAAAAATTAAAGGATCATAACGCGCTAGATAATTATCAGCTACAATATTATCATGGAATGAATTAATTCCAGACTATAAATATGACGTATACAGACAAATGACTCAACTCTGTAACCATCGTATCAAGCCGAAAAGGAGTAGGGAACAATAGAGTAGCAAGCACACACCCCTCCACAGTTCCGCCACTCACCAGCTTCACGTTGATGGGCCTGGCCGGACGGACGGCCCGGATGCCACAGCGCCGCCATGTGCTCCGGGTTACCGGTGCGGTAACACTTGGCGCCAAAGGGACACACAGGCACACCAGCCGGTGCACTTTCGTTACCAGTCGCTCCCTGCTCCCCTACCGCCGCTGGCTTGGCGCGGCCCGCCGCAGGCTTGCCACGGCCGGCCGCCGAGCCGCGCCCGCGGCCTGTAGATGATGTGGCCGCCGCCGCGCCGCGCCCACGACCTGCCGAGCCACGCCCGCGGCCTCTAGATGATGTAGCCGCCGCACTAGCTTCACCCAGAGTGGACGGGAGAGCTCGCCGCTTCCCCGGGGCACACAGAACAGAGGCGCGTCTTTTGGTCGCCGCCGTGACTGGAGGTTGCTGCTGTGGTTGGCTCGCCGGCTCTGGAGGTTGCTGTTGTGGTTGGCTCGCCGGCTCTGGAGGTTGCTGTTGTTGTTGCTTCGCCGGCGCTGGAGGTTGTTGTTGGCTAGCCGGCGCTGGAGGATGCTGTTGTTGCTTTGCCGCCGCTGGAGGTTGTTGTTGGCTAGCTGGCGCTGGATGTTGCTGTTGTTGTTTCCTCACCGGCGCTGGAGGCTGTTGTTGTTGCCTCGCCGGCGCTGGAGGTTGCTGCTGTGGGCTTGCCGGCGCCGGAGACTGTTGTTGCCTCGCAGGCGCTGGAGGCTGCTGTTTACTCGCCATCGCTGGAGGCTGTGGTTGGATAGCCACCGCTGGAGGCTGCTGTGGGCTCGCCGGCGCTGGCGACTCACCGCGGGGGCTAACCGACGCAGAGGTAGTCTGCCCCGGTGTTCGCCATATTGACGGAGATCGACTGCGCCCATCGGACGGGGTCTGTCGTACCGGGGTGTTCAACGGCTGGCTGCACCCCTGCCGTATCGGGGTGGTCCTGCTGCAGCCCCCGGACGGCGTCTGCCGTAACGGAGTGGTTCTGCTGCACCCACCAGGCGGCACCAGCAGCCGTGCAGGAGTGGCCCAGGTTCTGCTGAAGTCCCCGGATGGTGTCCTTTGCCGCACCGGGGTGACCAATATCCTATTACGATCCACGGACGGGGCTCTGCCGCCCGAGTCGCTGCCCTCAGAGTCATCAGACATGGTGTGACTGCCGGTCGCCAGTTTCTGGGCCAGTCTCTCAGAGGCTGCCTCGTCTGCGAGTCTCTGCTTCTCCTCAGCTTCATATTGACGCTGCAGCTCACGAGCAACCAGCTCGTCAAGGTCGGCAGACATGTTCAGCGTTCTGAAAAAGTTAAAATACAATTACACATATCAATGGTGATTGGTGATGCAGTTAAAATCGCGAAATCCGGGACGATGAAGCAGATGACACTGTCAGACAATTTGTGCCGCTGTTCAGCCTTTGCCTGATGCCTGGAACATCATCTTAACCATTACAGGCCCGGGCGGTGTTTTTCGTCTGCGGGGCAGAATCTCACCGATGGAGCGGGATGACCGTGTGTGACGCCAACTTTTGAATTCCATGGCGAAATATTTCTAATTTTCATTGAAAGAAAATGTGACATCGATAGTCTTGACTTGTGGCTTGTATGCTTGTACCATGAAAAATGTGATACCACTGTGGCCTACCTTAAGACCACATCCAGTCATCATAGCTGATAGGTACAGAATACGATCAGCCATATAACTGTTGTCTGGAGGAATTCACAAAATAAATTTCAAGATCATGAAAAAAGAAGACAATTTATGCGATTGTTTTGGTTTTTATCTAGGCCAATTCAAATTTATTGATCCTGAACATTGCTTACTTTTTCATCCAATGATGAGTCTTGTGTGCTTAAACAGTTCTTAGGGTGAAATAAAGGCTTTTCAGTTGTTAAGACAACCAAATTGAATCAACAAAAGCAGACTTATTCAGTCAAGTGTGAGCAAATGATTGGGCACCTAAGTCACGAATCTTACTTATGTAGTATGGAATTGAATAGGCCTTTAGAAGCCTTTCTATCCAGCTCCCTGTACATCTGACTATTCATCTATGTGGCATAGCAGGATTTCATTGAGGAGCACCCAATGGGCATCAGCCAGTTTGTGAATTGGTTTTGATCATCAGAGGCAACAATCCCTGCCAGGAAATATGAAAAATTTATCTCTGTTTGGTGTCTGTTCTTAATTAATAGTTAGGGAGAATGAACTTATCTTCTGAGAATAGGTATGAATGTAAAAATATTTGAATGCTTGACATACCAATACCTACGCTCCTAAGTCCCACATAGCTGAGAGCACTACCTACAGTTTATACAGCCTTATGTTTAAAGGAACCCTCCCACCTTCAAACGAGTTTGTGGATTGGCATGAAAGTGATGTCGCTCAGTTCAGAAAAAAAGAAAACAAAGTTACAAATATCCACCAAATTTCACCGAAAAATATTCACAGGTTCTCAAGATATTACTTTTACTTTTGTTTTCTTTTCGGGATCTCCTCTGTTCCTAGCAACTTATTTGGAAGTAGTTTGGCAGCTGAAAGTGCGGCACTTGTTGCGTGCAAAGCAGCATATAGGTACCACAGCATGCTACCAAACGTTTAAGTAAGATTTAAAATCGTTAGATCTGCACTGACGCCAAACATTCAGCGGGGGCATTCTAATGCATTAGCCTCTCTGAATCCAAAGTGCTGCAACTTTAAAATTTGATATTTTAGATTTGAGGCATTTCTTGATACTGTGAGTGTTCAAACTGATGAGTGCAAGCCAGGGACCCCATTTGGCTATCTCAGCTCAAAACTAATGTTAAGGTGGGATGGTCACAATTAAAGCTTTTGAACAACTTTCAGTGAAATGCTATAGGGGTGTTCACGGGCACCGCAAACTGCTGAGTGCGGTGTGTGCAGCAGGCGTGGGGGGTAGGGGATGGGTAAGTGGTTCTGATGTCACGGCTGCATGCAGTGGACAGTCCGCTGTGGCCCGTCCCGACCAGCCACAATGGTCGCTGTGTGCAGTGACGGAAGGCTGACGTAGGGAGCAGTGGACAGAGCTTGGAGGCTGTGTACGGTCCAAACGCACACAGGGCCCGTGAACAGCCCTCAGAATACTGAAATTATCCTGAAATTGAACCCACACCGTATATAAATACCCCGCAGCTTATATAATTATAGGTACCTGCAAAATCCTTAAAATCAGCAAGGTGATTTTATCAGCAAAGCACAAAAAATATGCCTAATCTGTAAAAGGCAGCACAACAGCAGACATCACTTTATACAGAGAACTCAAACTGCCACTGCCAGACAATACACAGTACACAACACCACGGAGAACGAGAGAACTGCTACACATACCAAGACACACACGGCCTTGGCCTTGCTACACACGCTGGCCTTGCACACGCTACACACCACGGTATATGGTATATAGAGGTTGTTGTATAAAATCCTTCAACAATTTTTTTGCGATCCTTGGAAATCGCATTCTTCAACCTCTGCTGTCGAAATATTTAAAGCACTTTTGGACGGCACAAGCGAATGAAGCTGCTCCAAACCAGCTTAGAGAGTGTGTCGCAGAACGCTGGCAGAAATCTGAACACTATGGTTTGTCATCATTGCGCAGAAATTGTAACAAATTAAATTGCAACCACTTTTTGGCGGGAATTTTGGTTTGAATTGTATCCTGTGCCGTCGCGCGAAATATTTGTGTTTTGACTTTATTGTTATATTTATTGGATTAAAACCCTCGCCATAAGATAAATGAAGATATAGGTATGCAGGACAACGAGGACAACTTAACTTCTAACAGGCAAGTGGAGTCTGGATCGACATGGGAGACACGTTTCAGTTTCACCATTTTTAGCCGTTCTAGGTTCTAGACCGCATGGTGCAAAATAACGACGAGCTACATCGAATGTGAGCTATGGGTGTGGTCACTGGTCAAGGCCGGTGTGGTTTTCCGCCGACGCCGCCGACCGAGTTGGGGGTGCCTGGGGCCATAGGCGGCGGAACGGGGAGGGCACCGGGGCACCGTGCCCCCCTTTGATTTTGGCATTTTAACATTAGACCTATGGGCGTTGCATGGACAGAATTGGAATGGGACCAAAAGTCTGCAGTGCCCCTCCCCCCCTTAATTGAAGGTGTTCCGCCGCTACTGCCCGGGGCGCCCGGGCGCGCAAATCCGCCGCCGCCCTAGCGGTGACCTTCACCCGCGCCAAGACCCGCGCCGTCTGTTACGGCTCCAAAGCCAAGCCGGTCGAGCCGGCGTGGAATTCGGGGAGCTCGGGCGCCCCCAACTCGGCGGAAATCCACACCCATGATGTAAGCACTTTTTATGAAAATATCAGTTTTGAAATTTGACCCTTTCACCTGACCTTGACCTTGGCCGGGGCCCTGACCTGACCTTCACCAGAATGTGTCATAAACTAGCCCCAATGGTCGCCAAACCCACATCATTGAAGTTAAATGTAAAACTAACCATAAAAATTAAAACATGCATTACACGGCCCCCACGGACCTAGTATAGTTGGCATGATGTTGGGTCTGTTCCAGTCGCACTTCCCACTTCCTAACACCTCTAAACTCCTCCAAGATTGCTTCCCTCTAGCCCCTACAAAGTCAAGGAGGGCCCTGCTCCAACCTCCTCTATCTCAATCTTGCTCTTGGAGGAGTTTAGAGGTGCTAGGAAGTGCGACTGGAACAGACCCATTGTAACCCTTAGTGACCTGACCTCTGTGACCTGACCTGGTGAAAGGACCTCATTTAGCAAAATACGTGTTAAATGAACATGATGTTTTCGATAACATGCCTTTTACTCGATTTAATAACACGTTTCTTATGTAGAAGGCGTGTAAACGGTCAGAAACGCGACCTTTGACCTGACCTGTAACGTCATTGGTTGCATCTAATTCGAGGCCGATCGAATTTAGTCACATGATAGTTTCCACGTGGGGCTATCGTACAACGTTTGGATTTTGAAAATCGGGTGGTACCTTTCCGAGTCTTTATTTCTATGCTTTCCAAGATTTTTTTTTTTGGGGGGGGGGGAGTCCCCTCACGGCCTTACGGGTGGCAGGATCCGGCAATAGTCCTCGTGGTACGAGTTAGAATAGACAATAGTCATATAACTCTACTTAGTCGATACGTTGGTTTAGAGGGGTCGACGTGAACGGTGAAGTTGACACTGAACCAGATACCTAATGATGGCGTCGATAATTTGATTTATAGGGCCTTGATTTGATTGTCATTAATCACTGGTTGTTACAATCCGACATAGTCCGTGTCAACTGTCCTCTCATCGTCCGCTCCTCGAGAAGGATACAATTGGTAGCATCCTATCCGCCGGGTAGGATCGAAAAAGGATTGTCGTCGGCAGTCGTTGATTGGTATGTTGAATAGTAAAACTTTGGCCGTCGGCACCTCTGTTCCTGCCTTAAGTTTCTATCGCAGCTTGGTGGTACGAAACAACGATTTCTTAAATCTTAGCATTCATGATTCATTTGTGTTCATTTTTAGCGATCAAGTCGAAATACGTACGTACATCAATGCGAGTAAACAGCACACCTGCTACCGTCTACGGATTCAAACCGAACATGAAGCCTTTCATAATTTTCCTAAAATCTGAGGTTCAGAACGTCTTCGGTTGTGTGATCCCCAATTGAAACATGGGCGTTGCATGCATTATTTGGCATTTAAATTAGGACTTAAATTCAAAGCCAGCAAATTGTCTTTGCTTATTATCTTATCATGATCAGCTTGAAATCTGGGCTTGCCTTATTTTCCTTTCATTCTCGTCTGTGAACTTCAACGCTCGCTTTTTCTGTTGGAACAGAACGTTAGTTTGGTGCTCAAGGCCATATATGTTTATTTTGTGCGAGTGAAATATTTCCTTAACATTTCATCCTCCCAGCATATTCCTCATCTACAATGATATTTCTTTCGGGTGAACTATTCCCCTAAAACACCTCCCCGGAGAACTTAAAGAAACGCAGGACACTACATGGTAAAATGATCACAGGTCACAAGTTTCACAAAATTAGTACAAACGTTTCACCGCCAGGCAGATAATGCATGAGGCTCAATGGGACTCTTCGCTGACACCATCGCGACTCTAAGCACGAGTCAAAAAGAGCAGAGGTCTTGTCGCGGCATTGGGTTCGAACCAGCTAACAGTCATGGTTTCCATACTTCATCGATCTCCACAACCAACAGATAGTTACAGTTGCCATAAAGACCGGCCCATTAGCAACCAATCGAGGGGACGCAAACATTACAACAACCATCCGGACAGCTAAAACAGATTCCGTCTTCACCGTCTTTTGATGACCATGTGTGATGTGCTGCGGAACATCGAATGCTGGCCGCTGGCGTTCTCAGTACCGTGGGACCATCTGAACTGAACCTCAGGCGACTGGTTGTCGAATCTCTTCCCGTCGTCGGCTCGTCGCTTTGCTGTTGACACTTCTCGTTCCCGCCGGGGCCACTTGCGTCTCCTCGCTGCGGGGGCCACCTCGCCACGGGTACTCTATCGTCTCGAAGGCTCTGACTAAAGCGGTTCTGCTCCCCTCACGTAAAACCGGCTGTGAAGGAACTCGATGGATGATGAATGACGTTAATGTGATGATGAAGGCGACGTTGCGCAGCTGCCGGTCGCCCGATGGGGCAGCCGTCGGCTATACGCTGATGAAGCAGGAGCTCTCGAACGAAGTCGGGTCGAGGATGTCCGCCACTGCTGAGTACGTGGCCGCGATGCCGCCGGTCGTGGCGATCAGGATAATCTCTCCGAGCAGAACCTTCTCCCAGAGGGGTACCTCACTGAAACAGATCACGACCTCACGAGTCAGTGGGAGAGGTGATACACCATACCTACGTCACGTCCGTCATGAAATAAAATGTCTTTTCCAGCAAGCTATGGTTGTGCAATAGGTATGCATGCATCATGGGAGACCAAATATCTTGTTAAGTGATTTGACCTCTCGCTGCTGCTGCTCAAGGCTCCAGTGGAAGGGGAAGAAATCTTTATGATATGAAGTGATGATAAATCCCATATAATAAGGCTGCAAAGTACCGAAATCAGAAATGTTCTCTTGGCTACTCACATTTTCTCCCACTTGCCGCCATCAGTGGCCGGCATCGACGTCAGCCTTAGGTACATGATGGGTGGCAGGATGAACGTCATCAGCGTAAGCGTGCTGCCGCCGATCAGGTTCAGGATCTTGCCGAAGCTGGGCACCGTCTCTCCAATCAGCACGTTCAGTACCATCATAGCCGTCCGGAACAGCACCCGACGCACGTTGAAGTCTGTAGAATAAAATAGGAATCCGAGTTAGATGAATATAAAAGGAAAGGACAAGGAGCCCAAATGCCCGAAGAATGTCAGATGAACTTAAACATCGTCCAGTTGGTTGTTCCCCAACGTTCCCATGCCTTTTACGTTGCTGCTATCCCACTAACGTGCATCTAACCAGCGCTGCGACTCTTCGGGGAGCTGTTGGCGCCCGCTCACCGGAAGGGATGCCGATGCTGTCCTCCAGCTGCTGGTAGACGGGGCTGATGACGCTCACCAAAGACGTCGTCAGGTTCAGCATGAACAGCACCTGGGCGGCGCTCTTGAAGAAGCTGTTGGGGTAGAGCGAGTTGATGAGGTCAGCCTCCAGCTGGTCGCCCAGCGCCAGGTAGCCGAGAAGCGTCATCGGAAAGTACATGCAGATTAGGCCTGCCGGAGACGGAGAGACGACGTCAGCAGTCATTGTTGGTGAGCCTACTTACTGGTGATGCAATAGCGACTTCCTTACGCTGCGTGATTCGGAACGTTTTTTTTTCACTCCTGCAAACCCTGCGCACGCTAGTTTTTTTATTGAATCATTCTTTAGTCCTTACCAATACCAACTAGGAACTTTAATTCAGCGTTGCAGCTTGTCGTAGGTAGCTCCTTTAACCAATCGCTCACCGATGTATCCGAAGAGCACGCTGCGGCCGAACTTGGTACGGTCAGCCATGTCATTCTGGATGGTCGGGAACGAGGAGGCACCACCGAAGGCGAACAGGATCGTCGCCATGCCCAGGAACAGCGTCTTGAAGGTGGGCGACGTGTGCTCGGCCTTATCGACCGTCTCGTCGTAGTACATTCCCAGGTGGATGATGATGCATAGCCAGGCGAGCATCGTGGAAACGAGGGCCGTGACGCCGATGAACCTGCGTTAGTGACAGAACGGCATGTGACTAAGGTGGAGTGGTCGGGATTTTCATGAAGTGGGGCAAGCAATTCTTAAAAATTAATTTCCGAAGCAAAGTAGCGATCATGGTTACGAGAACGTATGAAACGGCAATGA